AAAAAAACTAAAAAAAGCTTCCTTAGGCTTACGACAAATAAACCAGTAGTAGATAGAGCACAATTAGGTTTCAATAAATATCTGGCTTTTCCTAATCTCAGGTTAACAGTTTTTATTTCTTAAGTCTTGTTTAATACAATACATTCATGATGCTTCAAAAGAACTGGCCTAGGCAGGGTGGTGGCACATGCCTTTAAGCAGGTAGATCTTTGTGAGTTCAAGGCCAGCCTTGTCTACATAGTGAGTTGCACCCTGGAGGAGAGAGAGGGAGGGATGCCTAGACATAAGCCTGTGGGTCAAGGAAGCATACTCCCTTGCTTTTGAGCTGTTGTTTACAGGTGATCTGGTCAGCTAGATTTTTGGCTTTTCTGATTTTAGGAAAAATTTTTACCCTAGGAGACATTACACAGCTAACCATAGGGCTGGAGAGATGATGGCTCAGCAGTTAAGAGAGCCCACTGCTCTTACAGGGGACGTGAGTTCAGTTTCCAGTGACCACAATGTGTGGCTCACAACCACCTGTGACTCTGGCTCCAGGGGATTTGACACTGTGTTCTGGCCTCTGAGGGCACTTCATTCATGTGCACAAATCTACACACACACACACACACACACACACACACACACACACACACACACACACATTTGAAACAATCTTAACAAAGCTATAACCTAAACCAAAGCCAGTAGAAAAGGCTCCCAAGCCCCATCTATCTACAATTTTATATATACATATTTATATTATATATACATATATATAAATTAAGTTTATATCTTAAAATCATAAGACCAGGAATATTCAAAAAAGCTATATATCAAGTCATTTTCAAAATTAACAACAAAATGTAACATGGGGCAGGAAAGATGACTCAGAGATTAAGAGCACTGGCAGTTCTTGCAGAGGATACGGGTTCAATTCCCAGCACCCATACGGTGGCACACAATCCTGTCACTCCAGTGCCCAGGCCATCTGACACCCTGTGGCCTCCTTGGGCACTGTGTGCATGTGGTGCTCAGGCAAAACACTCATATGCTAAAAATAAATATAACTTTAAAACCAGAAAGCGTGAAATGGTTAGATTGTAAGCTGACGTTTGGTAACACAGGCTGCAGGCAAAGAAGAACTGTGAACTCTCAGCAAGGTTCCAACTCTCTCTTGGCCAGCAGCGCAGGCTGAAGTGGCTTTAATGACAGCTCCACACTTATGATCGATCTATAGGGAGGATGGCTTTGAGGCACACGGCAGTTGGTTAAGGCAGAAGGTCCCCACAGCACCATCTGAGGAGCAGGGGTTCTTGAAGCACCCCTCCAGCCACAGGTCACACCTGAGGCCTTGCTGAGCACGCAACCCCCTCCCCCACCTGTGTTCACCAGGCCTCCAGATGGTTCAGACATAAGCATATTGCTGCAGAAGATGCTAACAAGGTTTTTAGTGTGGGATGACCTGATGCCTGCCTGCTGTAGAGGGTAGTGTGGTGATGAAGGCCTTGTTCCAAACACATATTGCAAAGGTCCTTGGAGATCCATTCAATGGAAAAGTCATCTGTTTGTCATGTGTTACCATAGTAACAATAGTGCAAAGCATCATTTGCTCCTATAAGAAAAGTCTTCCTTGCAAGAGGCATTACTTACAAAAAGATCACCTTGTCCAGTGGAAACCAAATGTTGGAAGAGAAAATAGGGTCAGCAACCTTGCCAACATCTACCTCCACCTCTCCAGGCCTCACTCCCAGTGAGCACACCCTAACTGCCCAGTATGGAAGGCATGAGTCCTTGCAAGGTAGACAGTGGAGGCCTGAAAGATGACATTTCCATGTGATGGAGAAATCCCCTAATGAACCCTCAGCAGGAATCCAAAACAAGGGCACCTATCAGCTGCCCCCCTCCCCGCCATGCACGGCAGCCTCTTCTGGCGTCTATAGACAGTCTTCACCTATGGAAGTGCTGCCAAGACAGACTTTATCTCTGTGTTATAAAAGCCACCTCTGTCACAAAATCAATTTTATTTTCAGTGTAGCCTTCCTTTATTTCTTTTGCGGCAGTAGGGCTTTGGGCATGCCAGGCAAATGGCTTCACCCTGAGCTGCATCCCCAGCCTAATTATTTTTATGGTTTGTAAATCTGTTGACAATCTCATCTGCTTTCATAACAATCTGGAAGGCGGGGCTGGCTTTATTATCCCCACTTTACAGAAGAGAAAACAACTGGCCGTTGAGTGCTAAAGAGCAGACACAAATGCTTGACATAAAAAATGAAATGGTTTGTAATGTACGGAAGAATGTCTAGGCTTACCAAGTTTATTGTCTGCCAGGTGACCCTGACTAGAGATCACTCGGGTAGGCTTTCTGGCAGAGCAGGGCGGGAGCTTGAGACAAGCTCAGGTGGTGACCTGTGGGTCACAGAACCCACACAGCCTGCCGTGACATCCTGAATTCTCTAGGGCTCCGCGTGCTAACAACAGGGGATGGGTGGCATTGAGGTTAATTAAGCTCTTACTAAATTGCAGACATTAGTCTTCAGGCGTCAAGTCTATCCAGTAGACCTCCTAACATTCCCATTTCACAGAGAGGAAAAACAAGTCACAGGAAGGCTATCTACTGCCCATGACTTAACGTCTTGTTCCCTGGATACAAAGGGGGTGCCATGCCCAGGAGAAGAACCCTGCCTGGGATGGCAGTCATCGCAGGAACCTGCATCATGTTTCCAAAGTTGCCATCTGGGCCACATTCCCCACACTCTGTCCCCCAGAAAGTGGATACATGTAGGGATCCAAGCCTCTATGGCAGCGCTAACAGCCAGGTCTATCAGGCCAGTCTAGGTTTTCTGGACCGTGTTTATCGATGAAACACTTGATTTGTCCGGAGCTGTCTAAGAAAAATCAGAGAGGAAGGTAGCTTCAGAGGAAATGCTGCAAATTAAAGACATGTGGGAGGCAGCCATTTGAGTAAAGGCACAGAGCTAGGGGCTATGGTTTTTGTTTTTCTTTTAAAGAGTATTAAATAAAAAGAAATCCTCGCTGGTGTAAATTAATCCCCATCCACACGCAGTTTTTTTTTTTTTCAAGCTACTCCTCTTCAAACAGTACAAGTCAGCTTTTATAGATTGGTCAATCTTGTGTTTATAGTTTTTTCCTCTCTCAAGGAAGCAGAGAAGAAGCTGAATAGAGCACTCAGGCAAGGAGAAAATTATAGTGTGAGTGCTGCTCCATGCTGAGTGCGCTAAGGGGCTGGGGGAGCACAGCTGTCAACAGCTGGAGGCGGGAGGTGCTTGTGCCTCTCATTTTCACCGGGTAAGCAACCTTGCCGTCCTAGAGCTCACAAACAAAGTGAAGAGCGAGTTCTAGAGTTTTCTATACCATCGCTCTACCAAGCCCCACCAGAACCCCAGACTGGGATGCGGAGCACAAGGGAAGGGGCTTTCCACACCTGCGATCCTTGCTATTGAATGAGGCTGGTCCCCCTAGGCTCTTTGCACTGTCCTTTCTCCTCTGTAAAACGGGAACAAGTAGGCTCCTTCTTCATGAGGTGGGTGTACAAGCCTAACTAACGAGTGAACGAATTAGAACGGCTTGGCAACACCAGGCAAGTACTCGCGCGGGGCGGGGGTTCTAGCTAGTAAATACTGTTTGGGGGAAGGGATGGGTAAACAGCCTGCATGCTTCCCAACACCTCCACTTTTCACGACAATATATGCATGTGAAATGAAATCCAAAAGGTGGTTTTTGCAAAAAGTAAGGAAATCGGCCCATAACTGTCACTTCAGGTGATGGTGCAACTAGGAGCGTCTCAATGCGTCCCCTCCTGCCGCAGAGCTGGACTAGCCTTTCCAGGACAGGATTGAGGGGGACCTGTGAACCCTCCCTCATCTTGGCTTTGGCAGGTTACAGCTCTGTGCATATTTTGCAGATGGGAGTTCCAAACTTCCCTCTGGGCACTAATGACCCTGGAGCAAGCATATTGCTTTACAGGGCTTTAACTATTAATAATTAATTAGAACCAGATTCTCATGAGCTCAGGCTGGTCTCAAACTCTCTATGTAGCTGAGAGTGGTATTGCATTTATGAGCCTACTGCCTCTGCCTTCCGAGAGCGCTGGGGCCACAAGCCCGACTTTACACGGTGCCGGGGATCCTTCCCAGACTTGGTGCCTACTAGACAAGTAACTTTAACCACTGGCCTATAGCCTCAGCCCCTTTACCGGGTTTTTAAATGCTGAAGATATCAGGAAAGATTCACAAGGCGGCAGCACTGACCGGGACACCTGGGTACTTCAGTCCACCCTGTCAAACACCACAGACTCCGCACCAGACAGATGAGGGTGGATACTGCTCTTGGGAACACAGATATCAAGAACAGACCAGTCACCGGAGCACACATCTGCGAGCTTCGCAGTGGGAAATCTCTCCTGCCACCCAGACACGCGGGGACGCGTGTCCCCTCCCCCACCCCCGTTTATGTCCAAGAACCAACTCTGAGAAAACTGGTCACGCTCAGGTGTCACTTCTGCCTCCTCTGACTGGGATACCATGGCTTCCAGGGAAGCTCATTAACAAAACAATTAATCCGCATAAAAAGCCCAAACCCACCCCAACGCCTAGGAGAGCTTGAAGTCAAAGGCTGAGGGTATGGGTGCGCAACGTGGGCTCCCACCCCACCCCGGGAAGAGAAAGGGGCTCAAGCCAGGGCCAACCAGAGGGTCGCACTCAGACAACCCGCGCTCAGGCGGCTCTGGGGAAGCCCGGCTCCCAGACAGCCAGGTAGGCATGAGGGCGTGGGCACCGGCGAGCCGACGCCGCAGAGTAAAGTTCAAGCCGGATCTCACCGCCGGGCGGCCACCTCGCCAGGACTGTCCCCCGCTTCACAGTTCTTAGTGACTCCCGGTGGCTACCACGCTCCCACCCACTTCAAACACCCGCCTCTCTTCCCCTCTCCCAAGCGGACTCCCGAACGCCGCAGAGAGCAGTCTGGAGCGGGCTCGGGGACACCGGGTGTCGCCTACGTACCCAGCGCTAGCAGAGCGAGCTGTCCAGCCGCGGGGACCATCTTCCGAGCACAGGGCGCTGCAGCCACCGCACTCCCTGCGGTTGGCTAGTGGCCGCGCGCCGCCGCGGTGAGCGCGGGGAAAAAGGCGCAGGCGGCAGGGCCGGCCCCCGGCGCGCGGGCGGAGGACGACCGCGCCTCCCGGTGGCACTGGCCGGCACACTGCCCGCGGCGGAAACGGGAAGGAGGTTCCCGCCACCTCTCCGCCCCTAGGCGACCGGGGCGCGGCGGACCACCCTCCCGTGATGGGGCGCCCCCGAGGGCGCAGGGGTGGGGACTGGGAGCCGGGGGCGGGGACCCGCGCCCCGATCGCGACAGCCAGTCACCACCCTGGGCCAAGGGCCAGGCAGGAAGCGCAAGGCTTCAGACACCTCCCCGCAGTGCTCGTGCCCAGGGTCGCTGCCTGAGTCCCCTGCGCAGTAGCCGCGTCCAGGCTGTAGGCGGCGGAGCGGAGTCGCCCAGGATGTAGTCACCTGCGCCAGGAGCCTGGAGACCTTAGCCAGTCACCCGGCAGGGCCTGACCCAAGAAAAGCGCTGTCTCCATAGTCAGTCAAACACCCATCAAACTCGAATTCCCACCTGTGCCCCCATCCTTCGTGGTTTTGGGTCGCCTGCATTAACCAAGGGCAAAGCCACCGTATGTCCCCAGATATAGTGTGAAGATCAGGGACTCTGTCTTCCGTGAACTTAATCACGCGTCAGCCCCACTGTCCCACTGCTTCGGGGATGCGGGAGCCTGAACAAGAGCTGGCTATCATGCAGTTCAGCACAGAACAAAGGAGGAGTGGGTGGTGGGGGTCCGCAAGCTGGTACTTTCAGTGTTTGTGACTTTGAGATGATCCCTGATTGGTGGACTATCGGAGGGGAACACAAGGGGAGAGTTTCTGGGTAGAGAAAAGATGGCTCATGCATGTTTGGGGGACCATCCATGGGGAACAGTACCCCAAAGCGACTAGCCATTGTTGTCAGTCTGACCCCCTCCTGCTTCCTGCCACCTAGCTGCCCCAGAGAGGCCCCACTCTCTTTGAGTGTGGAGCGTTGGTGGTGGGGTGTGTTGGTCTTGGGATTCTCTTGCTGTCTCCTTAACTGGATGCTCGAAGTCTCAGGGTTAAAAATTCCAGTTTATTTCAAAAGGAGGCCCAAGCTATTGGACCCAACATGTGGCTACTTACTGTGCTAATCATCTTTCTATTGCTGTGACAAAATGCATGCGATAGGGAACTTAAAAAGAGAGATTTGGGTTTCTGTTCTAGTTTGTCACTTAGCCCTATAGCTTCGAGACTGAAGAGGAAGGACATCATAATGGGGTGCATATGTCAGCCCAAAAGCAAGGAAGGGGGTTCCAATATCCCCTTCAAAGGTACACTCCCATTGACCTAACTTCTTCCAATAGTGCCCAACCTACTGACGTTTCCACCATCTCTCACTAGCGCCGCCCCCTGGGGGTCCAAGCAAGCAACAAATGAGTTTTTATGAAAAGAGGTGTTAAATCAAGCGTCTTTTTTGCTTTGATTAATTTATTTTTTTTCTTTTGGAGACAGGGCCTCATTGTGTAGCTCTGTCTGGCCTTAAACTCACAGAGATCTACCTGCTTCTACCTCCGAAGTACTGAGATTAAAGTCCTGCACAGCTATACCCAGTTCCAAGCTTCTTTTTTTTTTTAAAGAAAAGATTTGTGTGTTTTGACTGTATATACATGTGTGTACTACATGCATGTCTGGCTGGCATCTGATACCCTGGAACTGGAGTTGCAGATGCTTATGCACTACCATGTGCAGGAAACTAAACCCAGAATCTCTGCTCTTAACCATTGAGCCATCTCTCCAGTCCCACCGAAAGAGGTTGGGGGGGATTAATATCTTAACCATGACATATGGGCTGTCCATTATAAAAAGGCACTGTGAAAGAGGTGTGAATCTGCACAGAAACCACCCCTTTCCTACACCGACTAGACAATACCGTGCTTCCTTCATCCCTTTATGCTGTGACTGGTAAGGGTCTCCTGTCACTCATTCCCTCCACCCATTTCATAGATCCTTGCTATGGCCTTCAGCACAGGAGCTCACTGCCTTCAGCTTGACCTGGACCTGCCCTGGGGCTCTCCTGATTTTTTTTGGCTACAAGAGGCAAGGAATAAGGGTTGGGGACTGGCTGTATCCTTCCTGGAACACGTGCAGAGCAGCAAAGGCTATGGTTGGCTGCCAGCTGTCTGGGAATCAGACTATCCTGGTCCACTGCTCACTGCCCACACACTGTTGGGGCTGGCAGAATCTAGCAAGTGGGCTGGTTCCATGAAGGGCTGGAAAATATTTTTAATCAAAAGATAATTTGTGGGGCTGTAGAGATGGCTCAGAGGTTAAGAGCACTTTTTTTTTTTTTGCAGAGGGCCAGAGTTCAATTCCCAGCACCCACATAGTGGTTCAAAACAATCCATAGCTCCAGTTCTAGGGGATCCAATACCCTCTTCTGACCTCTGTGGGCACTAGCATGTGGGTATGACACACATGGTACATAAGTGCAGGCAAAACACAATACAATAAATGAATCAATCTAACGTTAAAAACTTTAACAGAAAGATGATTTGCTAGTTTTCAAACTCAAAAGTACACAATTCCAAGTACATTCTATCTGTTTTTACTCCCTCCTTTCCACTTTCCCTCCCTTCTTCTCTTTCCCTCTCTGTCTTTCTTTTCTGGGGCAGGGACTCGTTATATAGCTGGGAGTTTTCAATTATCCTGCCCCAGCCTCTTCAGTGCTGGGACAACAGAAGCCATGCCTGGCTTAGAGTATCCTCTAATACTTGAAAATCACTCATTACCCCCCAAGATTTTCTTGAGCTGGTGCAATGAGGTTTGAGAACATTCCAGTTTGTTTTTCATTCGTGTGTGTGTGTGTGTGTGTGTGTGTGTGATGTGTGTGGTGTGTGCTTATGTGTGTATACATGTTTGCATGTGTGAGTGTCTGTGCATATCTGTGCATGCATGTGGAGGCCAGAGGTTTAATCATCATCTGCTGTTCTTCTACCTCAATTATTCATTGAGGTAAGGTCTTTTAATCAAACCCAGAACTCACTGATTGGGCTACTCCGCTAGTTAGCTTGCTCTTGGGGTCCCTTCTCTGCCTCCCAAGGTTGGAATTTCAGGTAGGCTTTCACACCACACAGTGTTTACATGGATTCTGGGGCTCTGAATCCCTGTCCTCAGCTTGTGTGGCAACTCCTTTAAGCATGAAGCCATCTCCCCAGACTCCTTCCAGTTTATTCTTGTGAGTAATCAGGTTTGGGAAGCAAACGACAAACGTGGTGTTGGAAACAAAATTTGTTCCAAGGTTTCTTTGCTCCACTGCCTCAGTTTCCCACATTTTATTGAAGATAATACTTAACTTATCGGGCTGTAGGAGAATTATATTAAACCCCCCCAACCTCTTTCGGTGGGACTGGAGAGATGGCTTAGCTGTTTCATATGAACAAAGCTAGTTATTAAAGTTCCCCTCTGTGAGCTCGCCCTCCCCCTTCCGTGTTCCCTACTCTTTCCTTGCTTAATCATTCTATGCCAATTTCCTTGTTCAGGAGTGCACACACACACACACACACACACCTTTACAAATACACACATGTACACCTGCATGCACACACACATACCCGTTTCAGTTATACAGAATTCACTGCTCTCTGAGTTGAGTGAATCCCATTGGTGTCCTTAAATCTGCAAGGCGACTCAGCGTCCTTCCCCTGCAGACTCTACACCCATCCCATGCATCCTCGAGGATCCATTCCCATGTACACATGGAGTCCTCGTTTACAGGAGTACACCCTGGATCCAGCAAGGGTGATTCACTTTGTAGAACCAATCATGCCTGTCCCTGAGCAAACAAGAGAACATTGGTGGCTGGGCAGAGGCCACCAAGTCATAGCCCAGGAGGCTTCTATTCAAATTCTGAGGGTGTGGGCAGCCCCCCTTCCCCTAGCTTCCCCTCATGCCTAGTTATGGGGCAGTCAAAGGCCCCAGTGCTTTCAGCCAGCAGGCCTGGCCTTGAGTGGACGGTCCCCAGATGCTTCGAGAAGGACTCAAGGAGGAAATACAATAATGGATGTGAGAGGAAAGATGGCTCCCGTGTGTTGTCTCAGAGCCAGTGACGTGCTGGCTTCAGCAGGTGCAGGACTTTTCCTTGGGAAGTGGCACTTGACAAGGGGAGAAGAGGTCACAGGGGCATCCACCAGAGGGCAAAGATCAGAAGCTGTTGGTCATGAGGGGCCCTTTTGGGGGACTCTGGGAAATGAATTCTTGGTGGAATGAGGAGATTCTACCACAACAAGGGATTTAGGGAGATAAATGATTGCAATGTGATGAATTGTCAAAGTTTCAGCCCCGCAGAAGCCTCAGCTGTCGGTGTGTTCCAGCTCTAGGGGAGGACAAAGAAGAGAGACTCATGCTGGGTTCATTTGAGTCTTCCTTTCGTGGGTGGGGAGGACCTCTTACCTTCGGCACCTGGGTGATTTTCATTGCCCATGCTGTTCAGAATTGGTGTAGCTCCTGCTTCCTGCCTCACACCTGGTGCTCAGCTGACCTCAGATGTGGACATTGGACATGTGAATTACCTCAAATCCTTCCACTCTAGACTACAATGTTCCCAAAGCATGGGTTGGAAGCTTGGGTGTTAATGCACCCATAGGTGGTGCAAGCTGGTCAAGGCACTGGGTTGGATGCTCTAGAGCTCTAGAACACCATTGGTAGAGTCATTGTCATCCAAAGCAGCTTGGGAACTTCCTAAGGACATGGATACAGTGCAGGCGAATCTACACTGTGTGGAAGACACCAAGCTTCTCTCCAAGCATGCACGGAGAGAGAAGAGTAATTCACCAGATACCCAGTTACAGGCTCACTCTCTTTGCTGTTGTCCCCTAGTAGTCATGAATACGCTGTCACACTTTTCTGGAGACTGAGAAGATGGCCTCTGGGACTCTTACACAGTTGCTACAGGAAAGTCCCAAATTCAGAGTCCGGAAACCCTGAAGCAGACTCGGCTAAGGATGCTGATAGAAGCAGCGGTGCTCAGAAGAAAGAGGGGAGGACAGAGGAAAAGTAAAGAGGATGGGGGCAATGGCTCAGTGGGAAAGCAATTGCTATACAAGTATGAAGATCCAAACCCATCTCTAGAACACACACACACACACACACACACAC